TGCCTTGTAAAGAAGAGGGAGATATACAGAATCGTAAGCTTTGCTCATGTCTTGTGAGAGCAACCAGATATCTTTTTCATGGATATTTACATCTTCTATTAGTTGTTGTAAAATAGATATTAGGAGAGTAGTAGAAGTAAGTAGTAGAGCGACAAAGTTGTTAGAGTTTAAAATATGATATTTGCTAAGAGTTTGATTAAGTCTATTGGTCAGTATTTTAGTGAATATTTTTCTAGTATGTTCTATAAGAGTTATAGGACGTGTTTGATTGAGTTGTCCTGTAAAGGTTGGCTTTTTAGAAATTGGGTATACCATGCTGTTTTTCTATTGTGTTGGTATATCTTTGAGTTCTAGACACTGATTAAAAATATTTAGAAGTATGTCTAAACTTTTAGAGCTTAGATGTTTTAGCATCTCGTTAGAAATGTTTTGAGGACCTGTAGCTTTTTTAGTTGGAGATATTGATATTGTGTTGGAGATTTCTTCTATCGTAATAGGGTCTGTGATAGTATTATACCAGTCCACTTGGATACGTTCAGGTGGTATGTATTCTTCTTCCCATTGTGGCCAATAGTCATTATTTCCAGGATTGTGTTTCATCCATTGTTTGAAGTGTTCTTTTATATGATCTTTTATCTCTTCTGGTTCATAAATTATTGATTCTTCTGTACTAATGTTGCAGAAAGTTACAGGATCTGTGTGTCTAGTTAAGATGCTATCGATCATACGTGTTGTATTAGCACTGAAATTGTGATATCTAGTATCAATTCTGTGGAGGATTTCATTTCTTTTGATTGTGTTGTTTTCTATGTTTCTAGCGGTATATATTGTTTTTTGGTATGTCTTCAAATTGTTGATTAGAGTACTAGTATTCTGTATTGTGAGATCATTAGAAGTAAGGAGTATAATATCAGTCTCTGCTAGTTTGTTTATTGAGGTGATAGAGTTGTTGAGGTAAGTTATCTCGATTCTAGTTGGGTAATTTTTTAGCTTATATAGGAGCTTGTTAATTAGTTTAAGAGCTTTGTATAATTTGGATGCTTTTGTAGATAATGCGAAATGTGTTTTTGATGCAACCTTTGTTTGCGGAATATGTGTTTTTGCTACAATTGTTATCGCTTGGCTGAGTTTATGCCATAATTTGTTTAAATTTGTTAAGGAGGAATTTTGGTGAGAGTTGTGTTGTATTTTCTGAAGTTGTTTGTCGATTTCTTCTGTGAAGTCTATCCAAGTGTCTTTAGTCATTTCTTCGTATTTGTAGATTGTTCTTTTATTTTTGGTCTTGCATCTTTTGGC